AAAATAGTCAAATAATTGAAATTAATGTTTCTGATTATTGTTTACAATTATTATAAAAATCAATTAATAGAAATTATTATTAAATCTGTTAATGTTATCAAAATAGTCAAATAATTGAAATTAATGTTTCTGATTATTGTTTACAATTATTATAAAAATCAATTAATAGAAATTATTATTAAATCTGTTAATGTTATCAAAATAGTCAAATAATTGAAATTAATGTTTCTGATTATTGTTTACAATTATTATAAAAATCAATTAATAGAAATTATTATTAAATCTGTTAATGTTATCAAAATAATCAAAATTAGTTTTCTGATTATTACTGTTTTTGAATATTCCAACAATCAATTAACTGAAATTAGTGTTAGTGATTATTGTTTTCAATTATTATAAAAATTGATAAATGGAAATTATAATTAAATTGATTGATGTCATAAAAATAATCAAAATTTATGTTTCTAATTATTCCAACTATCAAGTAATCAAACTTTTGTTATTATGATTTTTCATTATTGTTTCCAAACAACTCAAGCTTGTTCAGCTTAACTGATTTGTAGAACTTACAAAAACAATCAATTAATCTAATTATTACAATTTGTTTATTATTCCAATTATCCAAGTAACTAAATAAATTGATGTCATGTGTGTTTGTTATTAAGCACAAAGGTATGCAAGTGGCTATCAAAATCCAATTGTAAATGTTGTATGATTTTTTTTTTTTGCTTATATGATGTAACAATTGGAAAGTTCAATGTTATGAACTCAAGTATTTGTCAATAAATCAATTAGTAAATTCCATTAATTGCTCATCTCTAGATACGAGATGTATACAGATCTAAGGATTGTAGTTTAGACTGATATTTTACATCATGTTTGCAATGCATTTATGCAGATGGTTGGTTACCAAACCACAGTCAAAGAAAAAAAAGGTTTACAGTGGTGTTTCATTTTGTAATACTATGGTCAAGCGTGTAGCAAACAACAAGGGTGTCCAACTGATAAATCAACGTATTCTGATTGTTACGAGTTTTTGTTTTATGACTTGGCATACACCTAGTCAGAACAGTACATTAAATTAACTATATTAATAACTGGGTTAATTTTTAGTTCTGATCTAGTAGACAATCTGTTTTGTTCAGAAGTTAATCATGACTTCTGGACACGTGAATTCCTACAGCATCACAGACACTAGTCTAAGAAAAATAAAACACCTTTCATGCAGCATAAATATTTAACAGTTATGAATGACCCTAAGTTGATGATAAGTACACAGAATCCTTTTATTTGTTTAATTAAGCCTTTTATAATCTAAATCATTTTATTTCGAGTTGAAGAGAAACAATTTCCTAACAATTAAAACTATACCTCTTCTCAAGATTTTTAATGTAAAACTGAGCCTGTGTCAAAGAATAAAGATTTCTTGTAGAGTTGGTCTCCTACAAAACAAGCCTTAAGGAAAGCAACAGTAGTAGATTTCAAGTAGTGAAAACTGAAGGTCATACCCCCAAGGGGGTGCAGAGGGTGGGTAAGGAAGCCACACAACTATGGCTATAGAAGCATAAAAATACAAATTTAAAAATAAAGAAGTTTTTAAAAACTACTATACAAATATTACTAATATTAAGTAATATAGTAACAAAAATTAACATAGAACAGTAAAATATATTGTTATAGGTTATACAGGGTGTGAGGAGTGCACCAAATACCATATTTAGAGGGAGGGCCATGAAAAAGTTTGTGTACCACTGGTCTAAATGATAAGAAATGCTGTTAAAGAATGACTAGCTTTTTAAAGAAAAAAGTTACAGGAACAAATTGCTTTAACAAAACACATTCATTCATTGTGCCACAACAAGCTATCTCCTATGTCCCCCGAGGGAAAATTAATCCCTAATTTTAGTGTTGTAAATCCAAAGACATACTGCTGTCCTACCAGCAGACAACAATGAATGAAAAGAGAGAAGATAGAATGTAATTTATAATAGTGTACATTAATACTTTGGTAAATACAACTATCAGTTCTCAAGCGTAAATAGCCTTCCAAAAAACTCACAGATTTTTTTTCATATCTTCAATCAAAACTTTAAAATTTCTTTTCTTATTTTTTAACCACATCTGACCAATTGACAGAAGCAATATAGCTGAAGTTGTAAAACCTGATAATCAATTTACAATTTTCTTTTCTCTGTTTTCCTATTCCCCCTTTCTTCTCCCCAATTTTTTCCCATTCCCATTTGTTTCCTTTTCCATGACCCAAAATTTCAAAATCAAAATTATTCCTCTACCTTTTGGACACTTATTTGCAAAAATATTTATATCTGTCACTTCTAAAAAAAACCAAAAATATTTACCCCTGTCACTTCTAAAAAAAAAACCAAAAATATTTATGTCTGTCTCTTCTAAAAAAAACAAACCAAAAATATTTACATCTGTCTCTTCTAAAAAAAAGAAAAACATAGATTTATTATCTTGTATTAATTTGGTGAAATAAAAGAAGTACTTCCAAATAAGTTTTACTATTTACTAATATCCCAGGAATCAACAAGAAACACTGAATAGTCTGTGAACAGAAAACTAAGACAACTAGCTCAAAAAACCCAGCAAACTATGTTATATATGATAACAAGAAATTGACTCTAGTGACGAAGTAAAATTCAGGTGCTGAGGTATGAATGCCACTTAACATTTTAACAGATTGTAATAGTAAGTTTTATTCAACGTGTTAAAATTGTAACTGTTTTTAATGATTCAATACAGGTATAAATAGAATAAAATATTACACAAAACTACAAATTCTGTCATGTACTTAGTAACTTGGTCTAATTACAAGGTGTTATACATTTGACCGTGTAAATATTTTTCTGTGTTTATTTAAGCTATATCTTACATTTTCGACATACATTCACTTCCAAATAATTATCTGAATCACGTGCAAGTAAAACTGAATTTATAACGCTGTCATTTTGTGAAATCAGATATAAATAAAACATAACGATAGTGCAATTTATATGTTGTAAATGATAACACACCTGCAGCAAGCAGTGCTGATTCAGGATTCACAGGAAGAGCATCTTCTAATGCACAGAAACCATCATCTGTCAAAAGTTCTCCATTGGGAACCACTCGTGCCGAGCTTTCTGCCAATCCAGTTGAAAGTTCTTTTTGTGATGGTTTCTCTGTAAGGAAGTGAAATTTTAAAATACTATGTGTGCTCATGAACACTGATACACTATAACGTGCTAGTGTAAATTTTACTCGAAGGAAAAATTACTTCAATAAAGATAAAATTTAAACACAAGCCAATTAAAATGTCTTAATATCTAAAATACCTAAAAAAATCACCAATGATCTTCATAAAAGTATTCATGCTACCTAAATATTTGAAAATAAAAAAATCTTTTAACCTTTACGCCGCTTTATATGTATATTAAGCAGGATATTTTATATCGTATATAACATCTTTTTTTTGAGAGTATAGTTTAATGTAAATATTATATGTCATACAAAACTTAGTTTATGCTAACTAAATCTAAACCATTTTTATAAAAACTGTTGCATGTGGGTACAGATTAGAGCTGGATGATTAGTGGTATTAGCTAATTGATTAATTGATATCCCCGTTCATTGAGTACATTCAATTAATCAATTATATAATGTTCCTACAACCATGACACATACAAGAAAAAAAAATACTGGCAGAGAGCACTGCCGACCAGTTGCCTTCCCTCTAG